CGGCAGCTACACGAGGGACCACCCGCTCTTCTTGCAGCTGAAGGATTATTTTTGGGTGAAGACGCCGTCACTCTACGAGCTGCCCTACGGCACGAAAGGAAGCGGTAAGCCTCGCCTGGGGTCTGTCTGTCTGTCTGTCCTGCTGCTGCTCCCCAGGGATTAAGGGCTGGTAAGGATGGGACAGGAGCTTCTCACCTTCTCCTTGCTTTGCAGAAGATGTTCTCCTGCGTTTGCTGTCCATCACCCACTACTCCCTGCCCGAGAGCATCCAGAGGTAACGCCGGGGTGGGTTTGGGGGTTTTTCTGTCTTTCTCTTTGTGTTAATTTTCTTGGGGAGGCGGGGAGGGAATTGGCACGTTGTGGGCCCAGGACTTGGCCAAATGAACCTCCATGACCTGGAGTTGGTGGACAGAGCTTGGGAAGCTTTGTAGAGTGGCCACCTTGGGGGTTGAAACAACTTTGGGGGTTGAAACCACATTGGCTTTAGAGTGGGTCTGGTTGAGACAGGACTTTTCTCTCACAGCCTGAAGTGTCGGAGGTGCGCGGTGGTGGGCAATGGCCACCGGCTTCGCAACAGCTCCATGGGAGAGATCATCAACAGCTATGACGTTGTGATCAGGTACAACCCTGCGTCTGTCCCTTTGTCCCCTTCCCTGGTGCCACTTGTAGATGAGGTTGACCCTTTGTGGTGTCTCCATGTCCTTCCCCTCCCAACAAGGTTGAACAACGCTCCAGTCCATGGTTATGAGCAGGACGTGGGCTCCAAGACCACCATGCGCCTCTTCTACCCCGAGTCGGCCCATTTCAACCCCAGGACGGAGAACAACCCCGACACGTTGCTGGTGTTGGTGCCCTTCAAGCCCATGGACTTCCAGTGGATGGAGGCCATCCTCAACGACAAGAAGAGGGTAAGTATGGCCAGGAACCGGCTTCAACCCCTCCCCAACCAACTTCAGAGTCCAACCGTCATCCCACCCCCTTTGGGGGGACCTACCTCTTTTACTGGGACACCAGTGGACATCTCCATCCTCTTGTAGGTACGGAAAGGGTTTTGGAAGCAGCCCCCGTTGATCTGGGATGCCAACCCGGAGCGAGTGCGAATCCTCAACCCTTATTACATGGAAGTAACTGCTGCTAAACTGCTCAACCTCCCCATGAAGCAACCACGGAAGGTCAAGCAGGTAAGGGGGTAGGGATGGGTGAGCACTGTACCTACCCCCCCTGAGGGGTGATGTCCTCCCTGCTGGTCACCCCAGCCATCTCCTGAAGGTCCATGACTCTTCACATGTCTTCTCCTCCACCCTTTCCCTCCTCCAGAAGCCCACCACGGGTTTGTTGGCCATCACTTTGGCTCTACACTTCTGCGACCTGGTGCACATCGCGGGCTTCGGCTACCCCGACTCGGCCAACAAGAAGCAGACGATTCACTACTACGAGCAGATCACGCTCAAGTCCATGGCGGTGAGTGGCTGCTCCCCGTTTTTTGTCCACGTTGTCCCCATATTTTTTGTCCACGATACCCCCATATTTTTTGTCCACGTTACCCCCTTTTTTTGACCAGGTTACTCCGATTTTTTTTTTACTATGTTTTGACATTACCCCCATATTTTTTGTCCACATTACCCCCATTTTTTTGACCACGTTGCCCCTATTTTTTTTAGGATGTTGCCCCCGTTTTTTGACCACGTTACCCTCATTTTTTTGACCATGTTACCCCCATATTTTTTGATCTTGTTACCCCCATTTTTTCCCCTGGATGATGGTCCCTACCCACCCCGTTGGGTGAGGCTGAGCATAGTGGGAGGTTCTCCCCATGGGCACATCTCATTCCCCTTCCATCGTGGGTATTGAGATCCATCTTTGGATGGTCACCATCCAACTTCTCCTTGTAGACCAATGTCTTTGTAGTTGGAGCTGGTTTGTGTGCGAGCAGAAGGGCTTGGGCACCGAGGGTCATGTCCCTCTTTTTGGGGTACTCCTCACTTCTCCCTGAGGGTGTAGGGTCACCTCCCTGAGGGTGTAGGGTCAACCCAACGCCATTGGGATGGAGAAGGTGGAGATCTAACCAGGCTGCCCGTCCCGCAGGCGTCGGAGCACAACGTCTCCCACGAGGCCGTGGCCATCAAGCGGATGCTGGAGCTGGGTCTCATCAAGAACCTCACCTACTTCTGAGGCCACCAGAGCCACCTATGGACACTGTCC